AGAGAGAGAGAGAGAGAGAGAGACAAGGTTTAGGCCACAGACAAGTCACAAGGGAGTTTTGCTTGTTGCACAAGCAGCCAGATGGTTTTTCATTGTTGCAGAAGCAGCAGGGTAGCCTCTCTTGGTGTGCAAACAAGGTTGCTTTTCTCCTTGCATAAAAGCAACCAGGTTGCTTTGCAATTTGCACCAGCCACCAGGTTGCTTTGCTTCTTGCAAGAACGTTTCTGGTCTCCTTTTGCACAAGCTGCAAGGTAGCATTCACCAAGCCTGTTGCTTTGATGGGTGCACCTGTAACCAGGGTGCTTGGATTGTTGCAAGCTGTGAAGTCTGTTCTCATTCATGGGTTCGTTTAGTCTCCGAAAGAGATGAAAGAGTGCAACAGACCCTTCCCCAGAGTCTCCTGGGTGGTCCTCTTTGCCAGGGAAGATTGCAAGATTTTTTTATTGGACAGTTTTGCTGGGGTGAGTGAGCCTTGCCAACGTATCTCTGTGCATCAATTTCACTAATGCCATTGGGTTAATTCTGACTCCAAGTTAGCCTGTTGGACAAAGCAGAGCTGACCCCATAGGGTTTTCCAGGCTGTGAATCTTTCCAGAAACAGAAGGGCCTCCGCGTTCTCCCTCGGAGCACCTGGTGGGTTTGAACCACTGACCTTAACTCTTAACCATGTCCCCACCCAAGATCCTTCCACCTTTCCTTTCTCGTGCTTCAAATGAGATCAGCTCAGGAGCCCGCCCTCCCGCGAGACAAGGGAAGTGATGTCCCATCATCTATCCTCACACCATACACATGGCAGAGATTAAGATTTCTGTTTTGGCAAAATAAAACACTTGCTTTTCTCCCTCAAAGACTTTTCATCATTGCAAAGTTCCATTTTCAGATCTTCCAGTCTTTCCCAAGCTGAAGAAATATTACATTAACAGTTCATGGTCTTGGATTTTGAAAGCTTCTCCCTACCCTCTTTTTATTTTAAATTTTATTGTCTTAAGTTATTATTCTATTTCATGCAAATTGTTAGGCTCTGGTGGTCTAGTGTATAAAGTGTCTGGGTGCTACAGGAAACGTCAGTGGTTCAAATCCACCAGCTGACAGTCAAGAGAGAGATGAATTCTATTCTCATAGACATTTGCAGCCTTGCAAATTCAAGGAGGTATGGGGACAACGTGGCCTTCATTGGGAAACTGCAGGTTTACATTTGCATGGATACAAAAGTGTCATTTTTTCAAAAAAAATTATCTTTTTAAAAAATAAACTCTAGCTGAAAATTATATCATTTAAAAAAATAAACTCTATCTTCTCTGCTGTTGACACTCTCCCAAAAATCTGCTAGACTGTCTCCTAAGAGTCTGTTCCCAGTCGACGGCTATCAGTTTATAGTCTAAGAAAGTCAAACACAGAGAGCAAGGATGTCAGATTAAAGACTAAGGTGTATGCAATCCAAGCTCTGCTGTTTTCCATTGTTTCCTCTACCTCCGAAAGTTGGACTAAGAGTAAGGAGGACAGAAGGGGAATTTACAGGGTTTGACTTGTGGTCTTGGCAAAGAGTATGTCTCATTGATGATGCAATGAATAAACAGATCTATCTTGGAGCAAGTGCAAACGGGGAGTTCCAGAGAGTCCAAGATGGGAGACTTGGGTTGTTTGGGAAGCGCTGGGCGTACGCACCCCAAATTGATCCTTTCCACGTGTTTGGAAATGCCAGCAGGTACGGCGGCCAAGGAGCGGAAGGTGCAGTGGACTTCGCTGGGAACGTAGCAGGCGCATGGGTGTGGGCAGGCGTGGACGTGGCCGGAGTGTCCGCAGAGAACCATCAGGAGTAGGGACAGAGCCTCCCAGAGCGCCCTCCTGGGCATGGTGACGGAGCCCTGGACACCTGCAGAGGGACGAGGGAAGGAGGAGGCAGTGAGTCCTGGGAGCTGGTTTATCAATACTCAGAAACCCTGGTGGACAATAGTGAGAGACCCTGCAGCCAACACAAAGACACACGGTTCAAGTCCACCAGCTGCTTCATGGTTTAGAAGGACAGGCCAGGGCCTCCTGTGTGAGGTGTGGCCTCTGAAAACCCACTGGAAGGTCAGACAGCTGGGATTCCGTGCTGGCCCCACGGCAAGGACTTGAATTATCTAGAAATATACACTCATGCAAATATTTACACAGACAGACATGCACGTGTGCACAGGCTTGAAAATACACACGCAGGCACAAACACACACACAGAGCTACAAAGACATATCTACCTGCAATCTACAGCTATGTACAAGATACATGCATTA